ATGCAGAGCTAAGGGCTGCAATCAGCAAGGGCCACAGCCTGCATGGTCCTCCAACAGTCTGGGAAGGCAGACTTGAGACCTTCTGGAGCTGCCAGCAGGGTTGAAGCCTCCCTTTCCTCAGGATAAGCCATAAATCAGAGTCCAACACCTTCTTCCCCTATCTCTTGCAAAGATACAATTAGCTCTGGCCGTTGTTACAAAGGGAAGTAAGTCTGTAACCAACATAGGTTCAGGCTGTGAGCTCTGGTAATACAGCTTCCAAATAAGCCTTGCAAAAAGCCTATTGTTTGGACAATGGTGGTCAGATCAAAATGACCCAGCAAAGAAGTTGGAGATCTGCCTCTCACCTTCGGTTGGAATTGTGCCGGAATTGAATGTTCCTGACAAACATTTATGTTCATCAGTGACCAGAGAGCTTGCAAAAGGGATGCACTGTGCTGTCCAGTGGAGGGGACATGCAGGTTGTGTGGGGACAGAAGGCTTTGCTGACTTTAGTCTGGGACAGTTTGGGCACCCACGAGCTATGCAGCAGTAGGAGGTGGGAGTTGTGAGAGAGGACAGGAGGAAGCTCCAGAGTGATAAAGACAGAAAGCAATGCTTGAGGCAAGCTCAGAGGGGCAGCGCTTACCACTGAAAGAAGGACTGAGAGCACAGGTATTGCCTCTTGCTGTTAGATTTCCTGTTCTCAGGACTTTTTGTGTTGTCTACAGACAATCAAGACTGCATCAAAAACCCTGCAGATCCGCACCCCTGCGCGCTTTTGGGTTCATGCCTCCAGTTAGAAGGAATAATCTCCAGACAAAATCATTCATCTAAATACTTGGAGGTGAAAAAAGAAACAAAATCAATGGTAGATTTCTATCACAAATGCTAAAGACCACATTGCACCCCTGGGAAGATGAGGCTTGTCTGGGGATATTTGCTACTGCCAATCTTTCATGAATGCTTACGCTCTTGGGGTCAGGGTGGGGCAGGGCTCTGGGTGGATTTACCAAGTTCTAGAAGCCCAGCACTAGTCCTGGCTGCTTTGCCATCGTGCTGTTTGAGGGCCGCAGTAACGTGGGTAGTTCATCTGTGATAGCTCTTAGCTTTGCACGTTTGTTCCTAATAAAAGGCATGGAAGCTGGGAATATAAATGAAAACTGTGTGTGAGCACGAGTTAAGAAGTAAAGGCCTGAGTCCATTTAAATCAGTAGCCGGGCTCCCATTAACTTAAATGGGGTCAGGATTTCACCCAGTGCTTTTAGCTTAGTTGGCTTCCTGTTTGAGTTGGCAGGGCAAGTGCCTTTGTCCCTGTCCAGCAGGGCGTGCTTCGGATTGTTTTTCTGTCCAGGCTGATGGAACACTCTTAGAAGTCTCAGTCTATTCCAGCCACTGTGTGGCTAGAGATATCAGACACAAACATCTTGCGTGCATTGAAAGTCACAGTGTTTTTCCATTAAATACTGACCTATTTGTCCTAAAGCAGGTGTCTGAAAGGATAAGCTCTCTTGAAGGGCTGGGCTGGTCCTACATTTGTCATTACGTTTCATGACAACTGACATGAATCTAAGTCTGCACTGAAGAGGCTTTCTATTAAGCGGCTACCTCAGCTTGTAGAAAGTACCAGTTAAACGGTATCCATTGATGCTGGAGTGGATTACTTTTATTAGATCAGTAGAGTGAAAAAGACGCTGTTGTCTTGCTGCTCTCCCGTACCGCAGCACATTGCTAAGGTAGACCCACTCGTGTTTGTGCTTTAGAGCCAGGGGTTGTGGGCTGCAGGGAAAGAAAACGGCGTGACATCTCTGGGAAAAATCAGAACTGACAGTATAAAGCCCAAACTTACTGTCTTGTTATGGGGGGAGGGAAATAATCTCTATATTTAAAATAAGGTACTGCAGGTAGGCATATGTCTCAAACTGAATAAACTTAAAATTCTGAACCGATGGGAGGACTTGGTCCTACAGCAACGACAAGAGCTATTTGCATGGTCTGACCTTATGTGTGGAGCTTTAGTTCCATGTTCTCTGAAGTTCGAGGGTTTGTTTTCCAAGGTCTCAATCCAATAAAAACCCACTAGAGTACCAAATTAATAAAACTCTACATGTTTTGTAATTTAGTGGAACTAAAAAAAAAAAACATTGAAACATACACAGGCCATTTCCATCCAAATACCTCTGCTGCTAGAGGTTTGAGTAAGCTGAGGGACTCTGCAGCGTGACTGAAAATAAAACCCTTACAACACACTGGAAAACCCAGAACCAGATGACTTCTGGATTCACGGGCTTCTGGAGGGACAAGTTCTCAGGTCATGCCTCCAGACAGTTCAGTGCTAAGCAGACACAGCTGCCCAACAGACCCAAGTAAAGCCCTGTCCCTGTAAAGGCAGGAGTCAGGACCTCATTGTGCTGGTACACCCTGAATCTGAAACTATCTTCTGTTTAAAAACTCTGCTAGTATAAACACATCTCTGATGAAGAAAATAAGACGCGGCACAGATTTTTGTGCCCAACCAAAGCAGCTTGGAGTTCAGTGTTGAATTCTCCAGGTGAATTGCTAAGTGAGCAAGACACAATTAAAGAGTTACAAACCACAGGAACTTTGAGGAAAACTGCAGTCTGTCTGAGATGTAGATCTCAAAAGGGGAAAGAGAAAGAAAGAAATGCATCAAATTATTCAATGCAGACTTAACACTCACCTCAGATTAACAAGCAGTCCCTTGTCTGATCCCAAGTGTAACAACAGGTTGTAATTTAAAACAGCTTTTATTCATTAATGAATAGAAAAGTTATTTCAGTGAGAGTTTGGAGAAAACCTGTGCCAATTACCAGCACTAATCAGTCTTTCCTTGTAAAGACATGGCTTGCTGTCTGCATGTTGTGACACTAAACACAGTAAGTAAATAAGAGTGCTTTCTGTTACCAATTCCATCAGTAGGTTTGAAAGGGAATTAACCATTTAAAAATGCAAAGTATTCCTTACAGCAGATGGTAGTGGTTGTATACACAAATACCTTTTGGAAATCATAATGTAAACCACATGCTCTGAAACAATAGGATTCCTGAGCTGAACCCTTTATCCTCCTGAAAATGAAAAATAACACTCTCTAAGCTCAGAGTGGTGGCTGCTGCAGCAAGACTAGCTCCTGCTTATGCTGGGGTGAAGTGGGCACAAGCCGGGGAGATGCTCTTCTACATGTATTACACATTAGCCTGTTTCAGCTCTCTTCTATAGGGCAGCTCCTTCATATTTTATAGTGGACAAATTAATTCTCAAAATGCTGCTGTGGCTAGGCGGTTTTTAGTCCTTGTGCTAGCTGGGGCGACTCTCCATTGCCTATTGTGAGGCTTTACGTTCTTCTGGGTCGTGCCAGATAAACATTTGCATCTCTTGAAAGCTCTTCGTCACCCTCAGTTGCCTGAGTGCTGCTCACTATCCATCATGCTTTCCTATGCTAACACACATTCACAAACAGTTGTCCACAAAGGCTTAAAGTAAGTGTAAATGCTCTTAAAAAGAGACAAAGATTCCAGAAGCTGCACCTTCAGGAATTACATGTAAGGCAAGGTTACAGCAGACGAGAACATCACTGCAAAGCAGAATTATCTCAAAAAGCAAGTCAGCCTTTTCCTCCTTATGTTCACTTTCTGCCAAGAGCACAAACGCACCATGGTAGAACAGTAAACATTAGGGGTAACTCTGTCCTGTGGCTTGCTTGGATTTGTGGTGCCAGGTTCACAGACATGGTAGGTGGGAGGTGGAACAGGTCCCAACTCGCGAGCCATCAGCCTAGAGGCTCTTATAGAGGGTAGGCTGCTACTCAACCCCCCTCCTGTTCCCTGTAGAGCATTTGCAAGGCTGAACCTCTAAGCAGAACAGAGCTGTGTGCAGTGCTTCCCTGCAGTTTACGTGTTGCATACGAGTCTTCTGTGGAAAAGGCTGATTTTCAGTTGGTCAAACCAGGGTTTATCTTTGCACACTGGTAACACGAAAGCTGCCCTGTGCTCCATGCCTGTCAGGATATGAAAGTCTCATTTTGAATTCAGTGATGCTTCTAGTTTGTACTAGACAACACCTAAAAGAGACAGGAAAGACTTGGGATTGTGCAGTGCATCATCCTCACTGCTCTGCAGAACGTATCTGGGCTCATAGTGCTCATCTGTCACTGCCTTCTGCCCAGCGGCAGGTGTGGGATGATGGCAACACCAATAACACCAGGCTGCTCCAGGACATCAGTGCAGCTAAGCTAACTTGCTTCACTGTAGGATGTATAAGCCAAAATTAATTTGGTCCCCCTGACATGCCTGATGTACCTGCAGCAGGATAGAGGACAGGTGGCTTGCTTACTTTGTCTCTTACTTTCCAAATCTGGTCCTTGCTGAGCATTGGTTTGACCACTGAAATGGCCTTAGGACCACTCTGTGTGTACCCCGCGGAGGCCAGAGTTAGTATCTTGTGTTACGGCAGGACTGTAGAGGGAGATAATCATGTGTGAGGTGTATTAAAGTGGTGAAGTCCCTCAGTAAGAGAGAAAATTAGATGTAGCAGCAAATAAAGCAGGAGTCTGTACTTTCTAGCTTTTAAGAGTTTGTGAAGAAAGATCTTTCCCCTGGCCAAGCCAACAGCTCTTTAAAGCATCTTCTCATAACGTATCTGAAAAAAAACCCCACCTCCTTCCCCTACTACCTTCTGCCCCTCCCTTCCTCCTCGAAGTTACCAAAATCAGCAATAAATGAGAATAGACAGAGCTGACACTTTTCAGGACAACGTGCTGTTCCCTAGACTGGGTCAATAAAAAGCATTTTGCTGCACAGAGGTATAACTTAGAACAAGTCCTGAGCAACTTCAAAGCAGCAAAGTTGTAACAAAAGCTGCATCTAATGAAAGCAAGCCTTGAGAGTGTAAGTCTACTGTAATGTACAAAGAAATTCTTTTTGTTAACATTAATATTTGGCGGCCGGTGTAGAACACATTAGGGCATTTTAGTTGGGTTTTAAAGAAAGAAATTGACACCGAAAGAAGGTAATGATTTTTTTTAATAGAGGATCTCTCTGGGGGTTTGTGTTCATATCACAAACATTCACTTTATTACATTTTATGGAATGGACTTTAAATGCCAGTATATACAAGCCAACATTTCATTATTGAAGTTTGTGTTTATTCACTTGCCATTGTCAGTCTGTTCCCCTTTGACTTCTAGTGCTGCTCTTTGTAAAAACTATGATTTATGAATATGTGGTTTAGATCCTTCACAATATAGTGTGGTGAAGTGGTTCGATAAAAAGTTATTAAGGTAAAGAAAAATCTATAGTTTCATGTGCTTTGCCCACCTTCTATAGGAACCCCCAGTAAGAGACTCTTATATTAAGCAAACACTGTGTGCATGAGACTGTAATATAAGCTACATGCTGAGAGGCCTCACTCAGCCAAAACTCCTGCTGAATGGTAGTCACTGCAGGCAATTACAGTTTTGCCTACATAACTGCAGGATTATGCCCTCAAAGTTATGAAAGTTGCATAGACCAAACAAGGAGGGGAAGGGGGAAAAATCTGCCATAAAACATTCATTTTAAAATCAGGAAATAAAGACTTCCAGTAGCCTTAAGCTACATAGTACCAAATGGCATTTGGTTCTCAAACGTAAGTGTGTGTGCACCACATATTTGATTTATTTTAAAACAAAGCCTCGGTCCTACTGATTACAGGATAAACAAAGCTCACTGGCAGTTTCCAGAGCCCACTTAGAATCTGAATTTCTGCAGAAATGTAACACTTTCAGCCTAAAATAGTGCAAGGCGGATTTAGATCATTGTACCTCAGCCCACACATGGGTTTTTCACCCAGCAGCACTGCTGACTTGCCACAGCTGCACAATCATATAAAAGAGGGGATGACAAATTGGTCACTCCTGCATATGGCTGGCAAGAAACCAGAGCTGCCGTTAGTAGTGAAAGCTGAAGGAGGCACTCTCCAGGATGAAAAATAATTTGTTAGGAAGATGTGGAAGGTTCAGTTCAACTGCAGCACAATAAGAAGAGTGTAAGATGGATTACAAAACAATCCTGCTATTTGCCTTTCTGTCCCGTTCCCAAATCTCTGAAAAAATGCTGCTCTACAAATAAAAAGCTTTCCGTCTGTCTCAGGGATGGGTAACTTCAGCAAGTGAGGATTGCCTCAGTGTGTCTGACAGGTATTAAAAGCAGTGAGGCGTACCACTGCGCCGATGCCATCAGCAGCAACGTCACGGGTCTGGCACCGCATCGCCCCCGGGACAGGGAGGCACCGTGCACCGGAGCCATTCCTCCGCACCGCACACGGCTGCCTCCGGGTTCTCTGACTTGAACAGAGGAGCTATTGAGGCAGCGATCACAGTCCCTCTGTTACTGTTATCTCTGGCAAACGCAGAATAACAGCTGTGATCCTACGTCCTCTTGGAGATCTAAACTAGAAGGTTCCAACCTGCTTCAGACTACCACGATAATTTTGCCGCCTGTAGTGCTCTGTGGCCTGCTATCTGCAGTCCTACGCACCCTTCTCCAGCCAGGTGAGAAGCTGGATGCTGGAATGAAAAGCAGGCACAAGCACAAGAGCCCAGCACAGCCACTCAGCTGAACAAGCAGTTGTCCAGAATCAATGTTGCTAATGCTGAAGCAGCAAGGCTTTTCATCTTGCGTGCCTCACAGGCTATTTTGCTCTGTACCTTGGGGAAACACAACAGAGCATTTTGTCCACATTGGGTTCACTGAGGTTTGATACCTAGATGCCCACTGGCAAGATTCCGCTCCTCCTGAAGTAGGAGAATGAAGCAACTCGTTTCTACTGAAAATATAGGTAATAAGCCCAATAAAACACATTGACCAGCATGAAAAATAAAGGGAAAAGCAATTTGGAGTAGTGGTCTACATTGCTGGGGTTCTGAATTGTGAAATAACCAATAATCCTGTGCATTTTGTTTCTCAAGACACATTTGATTTTCTCATGAGTTTTCATGGTCAAGTCACTGCAGTTAACGTTATCGCTAGAAATCTCGATGCTTGTAAAGCTGATTTTCCGTTTATAGCTGGTGATGGAGCTGTTGAGGATGTTAGTGATGTTGACTTCATCCATTTCTTTAGGGAGATCACTTGCAGGCCCCTAGGAAACAAGAGAGTACACTTAGTTTTAGGGTTTATCTTCTGCAGGGGGAAAATGCTTTGATCAGTAAGGAGACCATTAGGATAAAAGAACACAGCTTCACATGTGTTCATCCCAATATTCAAACATGCCTTTCAGCTGCTGCCTAGCTGTAGGAGTGCCTTAAGTCCCAGAGATGCTTGTGTTTCCACAACTGTATTTCTGGAGGTATTTTGAGGTCTTTGAGCAAGTCTCACTCTGGCACTGAGAAACCAAACATCCATCTCCTACAAGACCTCCATCTTTTTACATCTACACAGTAACTTAATGGCTGGGGAACTCTGCTCCGACGTGGGAAACCTCTTTTCCCTCTGACAGGATTTGGACCCTTAATGACCACTGGACTATAATCATACTTGACTATTTAATTTCTTGCACTAACGCCGAGGACTTGGAACAATTCACCGTTCTCACAACCCTCACAGAACATTTTTCTGGTAGAGGAAATTACCTTCCAGATCAGTGTCCTAATCAGAATTGCTCTCCTATGGAATAAAGAGGTGTGTTACACTGGTTCTTTGGCTGCATTTTGAAAACAACAGAGGTGCTTTGTGCTCTCACATGAGCTCAGCTCAGGGCTGCAGACCCAGTTCTAGTGGTGGGCCAAAGTGCCTTCCTGAATGTGGTCCTACGAATCTACCGAGACCATCAGCTCAGGCTGCTGCTCCTTCACTGGTGTGCGGAAGTCTGTGTCAGAGACACAGCGGTCTAGTGCTGTTCACACGTTTATTGCACACAATTCAGGTTTAGTGACAAGTAACCGTTACTGTATCCATAGCAGGTAGACCATTTGTCTTATTCAGTTAATGGAGGACTAATCATTGTCGATCCAAGAGAACTACGCTTATTAAGGTAGATCAGGTTTTACCTCTTGAGGTGCTTTAGCTGCACATTTCTGTGATGAGCTGTAGTGAGCCACCGCGTACTCCACAAGGGCACCGAAGATGAAGCTGAAGCAGATGCCGAGGTAGACATCGATGGCCTTAATGAAACAGTTGGTTTTCGAAAGTGAACTTCGTGAGCCGATCATCAGAGTCGTCATGGAAAGCACCGTTGTTACTCCTTGGGAAGCAGAAAAAGAAAGATCTCTTGTGGACACTTGGGAAAAGGCTTGGCCTAACCTCCTGTACATATTGTCACTCTCTGTTGCAAGCCAGATAGAGCATGTCACTTTTTACCAAATTCAAATCATCCATCAACTGAAATGCTTTTGCAGCACTAGCTACTAGCTTCACACAGGCTCTCCCCCTGCCTTTGACAACCCGGCTCCAATAGGCACCTGGCTCTCTTCTTTCTCTTGCTTTCAGTAAAAAAATCCCCCCCTCCACAGCACATCACAAAGACCATGTGCTCTGTCTTCTCTGCTGTGAATCTACCGGGAGCCTTGGCCATGCACAGCTCTACAGTGGGCAAGTGTGTCTGCCATAGCGTATCTTCCACACTTGGTACTGCTAACCCAGCTCTGCCAAGAGTGAAAGCTGCACATGAGCAGACCATTTATCACTGACAGAGGGCTCAATAAAACTACTGTCTATCCGCAGCCCTCTGAGGCTCCCCTGCCTGCCTAAATCTCCCTTCCTCAGGCCATAACTCACCAATGCAGGTTCTTGCAGGCACCGAATCCAATGTGATCCAAAAAGAAACCCAGGACAACATGACAAGCAGAGTGGAGGGCACATAGGTCTCCAAAATGAAGTAAAGGACATTTCTTCTCAGCTCAAACTGCAGTATCAGTCGTGGGTAACTGCCTGTTCGCAAAAAGAAACACAGTGAACGTGAGATTCCCAAGGACATTTGAACTGAAATTGGGACAACCCAGCACCAGCCCTTCAGCTGATGTACATCAGCAGAGCTGCACTGAAATCATGGGAGATGCATTACTTGCACAGGCTTGACTTCTTGCCTCACCTAACATATCCTAGACGAGGGGACACACACACACACACAGCACCGCTGGACAAGAGACATCTAAAACAATGCTGTGGCTTGCAAAGGGGCTTCCTGAACTTAATCCACAGTGGAAACATTTTATACCCGTGTCTTAACTCAGAGTAGAGAAGGGCTGATGCTTTCATCTGTTCTTTCACGCTCAGCACAGCACATTTTTCCCAATAACTGCTTTGAAGGGGCATTGCCAGGTCCAGTCTTATCTGATGGCCAAGAAATAAACAAAAGATTTTTCCCTCGATTTCAGCAGGCTCTGGCTCATGTCCCAAAGCATCTCAATATCTTAGCATCACATACATCCCCTGTATTTATTACTAATTTGTGATCTTCGGTAACTGTGTCTTACTGCGCTCAAAACGGTTTCTAAAAAGTGATTTGTCATGATACTGACATAAGGGTTCTGGGGCTGGATTGCTAGTATTTTCAGGAGACGTTTCTGCTGTTTAAACAATAGCTCCCTTTGAAGTGTAGAAACAAACCCCATGTTGTTCATGGGCTGCGTACACTACAGTAAACAATAAAACATTGTTATTTTTAAAACCTGGTCATTCAAAGGAAGTTTTGCCTCCTTTCATAGCAACTGTGGTTAGAGAGGAGAGTATTTACACTGATAATGAAAAAGACATTGAATTCTGATCCACAAAGGGATCTTATTCCATCATGACAGAATTGTAATTTACAAACAAAAGTGTATTTTAAAAGTTGATTTTACTCTCAGTTACTGTAAATGTAGCTTACTGCAGTCTTTATAGTCTGCACACCTGGGAGGAAGGGAGAGTTTGTTCAGGCATGGGTGGAGAAGGAAAGAAGTAGAGAATTTAAAAAAAGGAAAAATAATTGAAAATCCATCAAGTGAATATAGTATATTAAAACCCCTATCTTTCCATGGATTTCCACCTTACAGAATATCCTGATTGCAACCAATTGGATTTCATCATTTTTCTGTCCATCTCCTTTTGTGAGATTAAGATTTGCTGAAGACTTCACTGGTTCAGCCTTGAGTCCCAAGATACTGGCCCACAGAAGGGAAGGGAGGTGGGAGGGGAAATGCTTGAGACCTTTTCTTGCTTTTCTCTTTCACTGATTTACCTGTTTCCTGCTGTGACTTCGAGACCAGGGTGTAGTAACGTTCCACTGTGTACTGAGAAAGCCGCAACTTTTCTATGCCGTGGACAGAGTCATTTCCTCTCAGCCACGTGAAGACGACATCATTTTCATCATATCCCCCTAAGGACAACATAAAGACCCATACTGCTGTGGTTTAGCCAGCAAACGCCCAGCTATTGCCCTGCCCCGTCTCCTGGGTGGGAACAGACACACGATCCAGGCGTTGCAGGCCGGGCAAAGACCCTCCTACCTGTGTCGGATTAGGGGTGGACAATGGCTGTGCTTTCATTGCTGTACTCACAGTCTGCGGGTTCAGATTTCAACACGAACACACACCACCGTGAGGGATACATAGCTTGCGAGGCTGCCGAGAACCTATTTCAATCATTTACATGGGGTATTTCTATTTTAAAATATTTTAACATTTTAAAAGATAATATATTCCTGTCACCTGCAGTTTGATTACATGCAGCAGGATAAAACTACTGCAGTGACCAACCCTTGAACTTAGTCTCTTCGGTCATGAGAGGAGAGCAGGAAAAACAGCAGTGGTTAAAAAAAAGAACGCACAGATCCCATTGAGCCCCTTACCTGGCAGCAGAAGCACATTTCACTGGTTTGTGTATTCAAGTGCTTAAAAATACCAGGAAAGGCATTTTCAGTTAGTCAAGAGCTCAGAGCAGAGACTGCTATGCGGTGATGAACCCGGCTCTTCTGACAGGGTATGCGTTGTCCAGAAAACTTGCTAATAAAAGCAGCTGTTTCTACAAATCCTTCCTCCTATCCCCAAAGGCTTTAAGTTGCTGAGAACAAATAAACGCATCTGACATTTAGGTGACGCTGAACTCCTGCCTCAAAATGGTGGGACAGATGAGATCAACAATTCAAGCAGTTATCAGTAAACTCCATATGTGCCAGCTGAGTAATTGCCTCCAGGAACGTAAAAGATGGCGTAACATGACCGCAGGCTGGACCGAGGAATACTCCAGTCTGAGGGATAAAGCTTGTACTGTGTCACCAGCCTGCCATTCACGTCAAAAATTTCACTTAATTTAGGAAACAAGCCCATCAATCTCACTAATTTGGTTCTTTTATTAAGTGCCCTGCTTTGAGAAAATTAGTAGGGACGCTTTGATTCTGACAATAACTTGCTCGTCCCGGTAGAAGGAATAAGATGTAGTTGCAGCTTTATTTTTATCTAATTGTGTTTTCTTATTAGACACAAATTACCAGAGCTTGAGTGTGATGAACTCCTAAATTAGGTGTCCAGGGTATGAATCCCTGCGTAGAACCCTAAGCATGTGACTTTTCAAAGTTTCTAAGCAGTTTTATAAATTGTGGTTACTCAGGAAAATTTTATAATAAATGATAGATTGTTGTTAATTCATCTGGCATATATTTAAATAGCATTATTTCTGGGCACTTATCCTAATGAAATCTCTAGTGGGTAATGTGCCTGTAATTTCATTGGAATTATACAGCAACTGAGCATGATGTAGGACCCAATCACTTTTAAAACAGGCCCAAACAAGCTATGCTTTAGCAGAAGAGGCCAATCATTATTATTTCAGGAGCTATTCTTTGTAATAAAGTTAACCATGGCGAACTAATATGATTTTAATGTGAAAATAATATGTGCTTCCCTAGGTGCTTCATGCTGCAACCCCAGAAGTTAAAATCTGGTCTTTTCAGCATCCAGATTTTAGATGTTTCTTTTTGTGACACAAAGTGGGAGATGGCTGCTTGCTTGTTGTAGAGCTTCCACAGATGCAGAACAGCAGCACTGTGCAGCACTGCTGAGCTCCTGGGTAATAGCCCTGTAGTGCCCTAAATTTTCCTGGAGCCTTTCCCAGCCAGCTTTGCCATAGATAAGCTTTTAATTTAATTGAGAGCAGAACTCATTGATTATTCCTATTCTGGACACTTCCAAGGCTGAGACTTCTCCTGCTGACATCTGCATCCCTGTTACAGACAGCCCTCACGAAGAAGTACAGACCAGAAAGTCGGGTTTGGCCTTAGTTTCAGTTCATGAGCTTGAGACACGTTCAACTCATATTCCAGTAAGAAGCACCTTTCACACTGTCTTGTTACAGTTTGGGAGATGCAACAAGGGGGTAGATATGTAAAAATGTGAAAATTTACTTCTTCTTGTACTCCATCCATGCACTTACCCCACAGGTTAGTTTTGAAGAAGCAAAAGGGACTGAATTTGGAAAACCAGCCATTATTACTTTCCTTTCTGGGCAAAACTGAACTATCTACGCTTCAATAAAAATATTATTTATTACCACTCTTTTTATATAAATTGCACAGTGACAGGAATCCTCTAAACTGTGTATTACAACATAACCATTTGAAGAATGATGAAGCAAGGTTGTTTTCTTTTGGATATTAATGTTTACGGGAATAAAAGTCTACTCTAGAAAGCCACTGGGATGAATCCAAATATTCAAGATGCGTAGTTACATACGAGTAAACAAATTTAAAGTCATCTTTTTTCCAGAATGTTATACTTACAGCTTTCTAGCTGCAGTCTGCATGTTTGTGTGTCCATGGGATATTTTGACAGGTCCATGTTACAAGCAACAGTAGTAGTGATTCTGTAGGAAAAGAAGGAACTCTAAAAGTTGCAATAAAAGCACAAAATGAAGTATCTCTAGTTTTCATAGCAAACTAGACCACAAAGACTCCACTCTGTCATTTATATAATTTCAACCTGTGAAATGAATGGACTGATAAGATCAGAGAGGTCCCTTCTTAAGAAGATAAGTGCTCTGCAGCCACACAGATGAAAATGCAACCAAAGGAGGAATTTTGCTTTGCCGTGGTGGGAGATTTAGCCTAGATTCACATGTTTTCCAGGGCTACAGTTTGCACATCTGAAGAAGTCACCACTTGCTACCTGAGGCACAGTAACTAACTGCACACATGCTCTGGCTTGCTCTGATGCAGAGAACAAATGAGTTTTACTTTGCAGCTTTGCTTTGCAGTTAAGGTAACTGGGACACAGTTTCTGTGAGCTCAGAAGAGGTAACACTGTTTGAATTGCTAAGACAATCACAGTGCACATTTCTGCAGTACATGTACAAATATGCTTTTTGCTAAAAAGCAGAAATCATGCCTACGTGGCATTGGATAAGCCAATAGGTGCCCAGTCTCTGTTAAACTTTCAGTGTTATGATGTCCTCCCTCCATCTGACTCATCTGGGGGAGCACAGAAACTTGTGAGCTCTGTGATCAGGCCCTGCGCTCAGGACGCAGCACGTACCGCGACAGGGAATCCTGATCCTTGATGGCACTTGCAGGTGGCCAGAACAGGAGGTAACGGATCAGAAGAGTATGGTCACAGTCAGCTTGTTGGCCCCAAACTCATTACCTGTGACAGCCGGCATCTGCTCCTGTCCAGCGTAATTCTGAAAATTTATTCGGAACTATCTCCATCAGCAAAGCCAAAGGTTAACTTACCTTAGGGCATACAAGATAGTGCCATTAGAGAACAGTCTAATGAGGCGGTTCCCCACAGTGACGTCGTGCAGGAAGGACCTTTTTGACTCCACAATGTACGTGTCTGGTACCCAGAGCAATTCCACTAGACGAGCGTCTAGCGTGAAGCTCTTGTTGCCATGAAAGACCAAGCGGGGGTCTGTCCAGCGCTGCCGCAAATATATGGTAGCTGTGTAATCCTGGGAAAGCGAGGGAAACCTGTGAGGATGCACGTGCAGAACACCCGCACAGCATCGCTGCAGGTGTGCCATGTGCGACAAGAGGCAGAACACACATTTGGTCAACCTGTCAAAGCTCAGCTTCAAATGCATGCAGTAAATCTGAGAGAGTTTCATCATAGTTTTATTTACTGTATTACATTTCTCTTACAATCTCAGGTGTAGTGTTTGAAGACTAAAGATTATACTCTTAATACTTTTTTCTTTCTTTCTTAATGAACAGTTATTGTAACTGATATTTTTCTGTCCATTTTGCAGGTAGGAGAACAGATGGGAACTGCACACTTGAGGCCACTCAAGAAGTCATTGACATTAAAAATCAGTCACTGTCTAGAGTTGGAAAATTACACGCTTACTATAAACGTGATCATGAAAGAGACATCAACACTTTGGAGGAAAAAGGTAAACAAATCCAACCTGTTATTTCACCGAGGTCTTAAAACAAAACTGAAAAAAATAAAAACCCAAAACTTGTAGCATCTTTTTTTTTAATGGAAGTTTTGAATCTAAGGACATCTATGATTAACTTGTGTTTAGCCTGCCAAAATCTACCTGCAGTGGCTGGAGTACTTTCACAGTGCCCCATCACAAAAGAATTAGCAGTACTCAGCTCTAAAGAGAATTCTTTACTGAGCCTTCTGGACAGACACAGGGCACCGTTCTACCATCTCAGTTCCTTCCTTATAGATGAAGTAAATGCAATCAGTAATGCCTTTTATTTTCAAAACATCTCTGTCACAGACAGACTGATACAGGTGATTATGTTAACAGTGTGAAGTCGCTCTGTTTTACCACAGATATGCTGCTTGTCTGTGGAGGATTAAGCAGTTGTTTCATTCGACCTATAATTTATAAAATGCTTTAAGAGTAAAGGCCTAAGTAAATATTGGGTATCAGCACTAACTTTTGCAACTTTTAAAATTTTACTCTTAGCCTGTGACAGAGTAAAAAACCACATCAAATAATACACTGTTATGGCTTTCAATACAGTAAATTGTAATAGTGACAAAAGGGAAGAATTCTGGTTGATTTTCCAGCTTCTATCAAGGCACAGAGGGAGCCCCTGCAATGTTTTCCATGTGGCCAGAGCAACTGAAATGGATCATCAAGAGGGAAAACTCCAGAACAAGAACTATTTTACAAGGTCCTTTAATTTAGAGGTATGTGAATAATCGATTTTTTTGGTTCTGCTCCTTCCCCAAAATAAACAGCTTTATCAAAGTTACAATATTTTATTTAGCTAACTAGTTTAATTTGTTGAAGGGAGGAAAAAAAAAAAAAAAGTCAGTGGTGCTCTTGAAAATGCTCAAATTGTGTCAGAATTATTCCTGGCTGAACTTCTGACCGTTTGGACTGAACCTATTTGATGAATTTACCCAGGCTGCCCATGGTTTTGGTCAACCTGAAACAGAAGTCTTCAATGATCAGTGTTTGAAATCCAGCTGTTATCAGAAGTGGAGGGAATCAGACTCATCAGTGGTGGGAAGATGTTCTCTGTTTATTTGAAAATTGTTGTGGGTTGTTTTTGTTTTTTTGTTTGTTTGTTTTTTCTTTTTTTTTTTATTTTATTTTGTTTGTTTTGTTTGTTTTTTCTTTTTTTTTTTTTTTTTGTGTTTTTTTTTTGTTGTTGTTGTTGTTTTTTGGTTTTTTTTTGTTGTTTTTTTTTTTCCTTGGCATGATCAGTCCTTTGAGCCTCAGACTGCCACAGCTCCTACACGGAGGAAAGGTAAGGGAAAGGAAATGCCACACAGGATTGATTTTTTCTATTTCCAAGGGGCCTGATTTCCAGGAGGTTTTTGACCAGTAGGACCTTTGGAGTCACCTCTCTTTATTTACAAGCCCACATAACTATGATATCTACATAGTCTGCAGTCATAAATGAGCCCTGTTTTCATCACACCTCTGAAAGTGGTCAACAGACACAGGAAAGCAAACCAGCTTGAAGAGAACAGTCACTGCCCTGAACACACAGGAATATATGGCAAGTCTCGCAGGCAGATCCTACTCTTCTTTCTTACAAAATAAAGATTTTTTTCACTTACCATGTCACTCTCAGATATACTAGAAATACTTGCAATGTCCAGACTCATCGCAATTTGAACAGGTTCTCCTGTGGAGGGAAAGGAAAGCTTAAGCAGAGAGTAGGGCTGAGTGAAAGGCACAGTAAAACTGCTCAGGGTGCTGTGCAGCCCGGGCTGCCTCTACAACCGGAGAAGCTCAGAGCGTTAGACACACTCTCAGAGCATCAGACGCACAAATGACATCATGATCCAAAATACAGTTGCCACTGTTAGTGCGCTGGCGTTCTGTATCTAGTGATGATAGCAGAGAGCAAATACCCACCAGCACTGGCTCTGAAGATCAGCAGTTTAGATAAGCAGCCTTTTGGTGGCATTTGCCGATGGGCAGGCAGCCAGCGCCAGTTTGTCCCTTGTTACCCAGTCCCCAGCACTCGCACAGCAGCAGGAATGGTAAACTTTGTGCAAAGTATTTCTCACACGCAGTTCTCGGAGGACTCTCCACAAGCAGGTAGTGAGTGGCATCCCTGTTTCTCAGAGGGGAAACACTAAGAGGCAGAGGAATGCAGTGATTCCTGAGGCCATGCACTGGGTTAAAAAACACAAGTGCAACAGCCTTTGCCTCCTTTTGCTTATTATATTACTGTTCTATTCACAAGCAGGTTTTCAGCACTCGAGTGCTGAACCTTGATAATCCCCCGTTTTCGAACACGAACTCTTAAAATCCGCCACGAGATGGCAGCTCCTCCCCAGGAAACGTCAGAGCTGGGGGGCTGCAGAGGGCTCACCGGGCTCTGCCACCGAGCAACACAGCTGGCTTGGAAGAGGGCAATTGCTCTATCAGCAGAAAGACACGAACTTTCCCTTAAGCTGAGCCTGGTTTGTCTCATCCCCAGTATGAATTTAGGGCTTGGTGCTTTCCTGGACATCCCCCTCTGCCTCGGTGACAACACAGCAATGCCTTTCCTCATGGGGCTTGCTGAAACTCCCTTTTTATCATCTAAATCACATTTAGGAAGGTCCAAGGGATGCATTTTCCACATCTCCTTTCAGGTGGCCTTGGCTTTTTGTTTGTTTCTTTGTTTTAAACTGTTCCAAAATCCAAAATATATTTCATCTGTAAGAGATGCGTATTTTTTCAAAGTAGCTGTCATTCACATCCTCCATCTTGTTTTTAGATAATCAGACACTTGAAGCCCACTCAAATTAATGGCCAGAGGGTAGATCTGTGATGACTCAGGGCCTCTGGAGGAAGTCAAATCAGAGTCCTCACCATTTTTGTTTAAGAGGTATGGCTCTGGTAGGCGTAGGCTGGTGTAGATGCAGTTAATCTCTGTTAGGTAATTCAGAAGCATCTGTTCACTGATATGATAGGATCTAGAGGAGTTTTTCTAATTCCTGCATGAGATCTGACATTCTAGGCATAACAAGCAGCTCAACTCTGTATCATCCCAGAAAGTTATCACCATGGTCAGAAAAAAGAAGCAACTCAAAGCTGCCAGTAGCTGAAGGTCAGTCTGCAGGAGCTGCAGTGGGAAACATCCAAGGCCTGGGGAAAGCTGACGGGGAATTTTTCTGTTGAGCATAGTTTGATTAATGGGTTCTGAAAAGAAAAATTTTCATGGCTGTTTTTTAAACTTTTATCAATATTTTTCAGGTGCTGAATGTCATCCTGAGAAACCCTTTCCTCTGAGTGGTTACAGCACTCACCTGGAAGGTGGGAGACCTGACACCCAAACTGGACAATGGCCTCAGGTAGGTTCCTAAATATCTGCACATCCTTCAGGTGCTCCCTACTCTCTAGAGTTTCCCAACAGTTTAAAGGGGTTTAAAGCAGATTTACTTTGTGTCTCAGTGTGAAGTGAAAGCACGTATCTAAAATCAGTATTTCTGGCAAAGAAAATGGCTTTATTCCCTATAGCTGCAATCTACTAAATAGATATACATGAGCAAAAATAAAGCAGAAAATCACAAGGGTCAGACTCTAAACAAAAGCATGTTCAGTTAGAACAGATTATAGTTACTCTGCCAGGTCTTTCATCGAGGTATTGAAATTTATAAATTCCTTGTTCTTAACTTCATAGATGGACATGTTCTCACGGCCCACACCTGCACGCACAATCTATTCAAGTCAACAGTGGATGCTCAAAAAGGAGAGCAGCCTTGGCTACTAGCTAACTTAAAAGAAACACCACCTTTTAAACTGGGGCATCCTAAAGAAAGTGTAAAGCGTGCTCGCCCCTCCGCACAAGCCTTACAGACCGTTCTTCAGACGGGCAAATGCACGGAGCCAACATACCACCAAAGTAGGGCCTGAGGTATTTGTTGTATCCCATGGTGAGGTTCTCAAATCCAGGGAGGGATGTCGTGTCGCTGCCGCCCAAGTCGGACACATGACCCAGGGAGCACCTCCTGGGGACACAGACACGTGCTGTTACGTGTGGCCGGGTGTGCTGGGCACATCTGGTGTGCAGCTGCAGCTGTGTTTCCAGCTTATGCTCAAACAAGCAACCAAACTGCATAAAATGCTTATTAAAAATAAGTTGATAATTGAAATTAGGAGCACTTGCTCACATTGCTTATCTTGGCTCAGTAACTGGCACCTTGAAGAGGTGGAAAAATTGCAAGTTACCGCAGCTGATAGCTACAGGTTTGCACACCTGGCAGCTTATGGATGTTCTTAAAATGTCCCAGACAAATCAAGCAAGGTCTATAGATCACAAGTCTTAATAACCCCCGATCTCCCCCCTTCCCACTCCTCCTCACGCAGCCTATATAACAAACATGCATTTCTTTTTTCCTCCTGCTTATGGCAACCTGAGACAAATCTTACTGAGCAGCTATCCTTCCCCTAATCACCACTCCCCTAAAGAAGCTTTCACCCTCCTGTGTTCGTGTCAGCGTCCCTACAGCTACTGCCAGGAGTAAGACCTCTGAGTACACCAGAAGGGGAAAGAGAGAGCCCTGAGCACTTCACAGGCACCAACCGAGCTTTGTGGGCTGAACCACCCCTAGCTGCTGTGCATACAGAGGGTTCGACTCTAATTTACAATGTCAAAATTAACATTTTGTCCATGGACAGTAAAGCTAGTACCTGGCTTAACGAGGCTGACAGATCTGTACCATCATACAGACAGCTAGAGCGACAGGGGGGTTGGACTGTTAGAAGTGTTACGGTGCGGTGTCCCTGTGTGGTCATGTGCTCACTTGATGAAAATGTAAATGAGTGAATCATTACGCGTTTGCTATTGCTCTGCAAAGGGCTGAAGGAGGTGGAAGGCAGTGCCTCTGCCTCTCCCCTGAGTCTCAGGACCACTGGTCTGTGCAGTAAGAAACTCAGCAACGTAGTTACTCAATGCTCTGATGATTTTATTCTTCTGTTCTCTTTCAAGCTGGGTTAATAGTCCTTGGAGCTTTGCTGCAGGTTTTAGACCAAAAAGGACCTTACAGCAGAACTGAACCAGTTTGTGCACACTATAAACATAAACCATTCAAGAAATTTAAGACTTGTAGTTCCAGGGAGGGTAATACAGGTGGAAGCCCTGTGTGAAAACTGCAAACTATTCTGGTCCTGAACGGAAAATAAGGGGTTGCACTGTTCATGTACATATTGTGTTTTGGGGACCTACGCGGGTTGCTCTCTTCCACACCACATCCCTTACTGCGCCCGGCTTGCTTTGGATGCGCTGGATAATCGGAAGCATACTTTCCTTTTGACCCACATTTTTTATACGAAACATAATTCAGACGTTCCCTGTGAAACAAAACAAACACTCTGCTTACCTTTGGGTTGAAAGGAAAAGACACAGACCGAAGAAGCAAAAACATCTGCAGAACATCTCTGGAGATTATTTCTGTATTTGCTGTGCTTGTCTGTGGAGCAGAAAAGAAAGGCAAAATTTTGCTGTTTAAGAAAAACTATTTTAAGGGAAGGAGACAGGGAAAAGAAATCCTGCACAGTCAAAACAACACGCTGTGTGATGTTTAACATTCCTTGCACATTAGTGGCTTCTACCCTGTTTTCTAACTTGTGTCATTTTTCAGCACTGTGCTATCTCAACACTTTCCACATAAAAGACACTGGTGACAACTCGGGTCCTGAAGTCCTTGACAAGGCCACTAAATTTTAGCAGCCGCTTTGTTTTAGACAGAACCTTTATTCTTTTGACACGGGATGGCAATCAGCTGATGTAGAGAGTGGCACCATGGGAGGGGACTTACTGAACAGAAAAATGTTTGGGCAGTTCCCAGAGGCAGTCAGACTCTGAAGCCAAGTGAGATCCTGCCCCCCTATGACAGATTCAGCATCTTTTAGTCCAGGGCTCCACTAATCGGCTCCGTCGCGCCGCTGTAGCTCTGCGCTCCAGTAGCTTGTACCTGGGATAAGCCCATGCTATTAATAGTAAGGTTGGCAAGTCACTCAGCATGCAGTACAGGATGAAATCGTTCCACTTCAAATGAGTTTCGTTGACTTTTCTGGGAGCGGAACCAAATCTTGGCTTCTGGCCCAAGGTTCCCACAGGCTCGTGCTGGCCTTGGAGCCAGCGCCCAGGATGGGCAGCTCTTACCAGTGCACTGCTCCACTCGGCGGGTTTGCTCCCTGCCTGAAATGCTGCATCAGTTGTGATGGTGCTCGGCCACGCGCCCCACGTGTGTTGCCACGGCGAGCTGCTGCAGGGTGGGCTGGCGAGCACGACGCTGCCACAGCTGCCAAGGGGAGATTGCTACTCGGCCATCCCCAGCTTGAGCTGGAAACACAGTACTGCTTGACCTGCTCTGCTACACTGTTTGAAGTGTACCCCATGTGTCAGAGTTTTCCTGCAGTTACTGGCAAGGCAACATCATTCTTGGATGGATTCGAGTCTTCCTCTTTATTATACTGTTACAAATTGGAAATTACTATGGAAATCTTTAGTCCCTGTGCCTCGGCACTAGTGAGAGCAAGAGCCCAGCTTCAGATTCAGTGCCCTTCTCCCCATGCACGGCCGTCAGGGCCTCAACTTCCAACGTGGCTATTCCATAGTGACCCAAATGTCAAGAATTTTCTGCTCACGTTAGATAATTCCTGTGGTAGTTCATCACAGCCCAAAGGACACTCTGCCTCCCCTCAGCTAGTCTTACAGCTCTGGTGCTGTGTGGTGGGACAGCAGGGCTCCAGGCAAGGAGAACATCTTTGCCCATAAGGAGGCAGTAAAAACACCGGAACATCTGAGCACCGCAAATGCAGGGCATCTCAATGGAGAGAGGATGCTTTTCAAAACAAAAAATGCTCCACTACCTGTCCCAACAGCTGAATTCCCAACACCGCTTTGCACTTGTAGCCCTTTCTCTGAACACGGTGTTCAGATGTTTGCAGACATTACTGAGTGCTCTTCACTATAAAGTGATCATGCAGAGGTAGAGAGAGGATCATTTACCTGCTCACAGCAATGTTAGACCACAGCTTTGATGGCAAAGAAGGATTAGCCCAGGTACTTTAAAGAACTTACAGGAAGAAAGGATAATTTTACAAATTAGCATTTAGTTAAAGCATGAGAAGTCATGAACTTCAGCTGAGGAACCCCTCACGAGCATCTTTCATGACCATCTGTTTTGCACAGGGGCTATGCTTGCATTTTTGTGCATCAGAATAAGTTTCTGAACAGTTTTAGACCAGCTAATCCTAGTGACTAAGACCTTATTTTGGGAAAAGCAAGGCAAATTCTATTTCTTTTGATGGCTGACTAATGAATGGAGACCTCTTAGGTAGTAAAAAGCCTTTTTGGGACCCTGTTGCGTCTTGAGTTAACAAGTGAAACGTGCACTGCAGTGGGTGCCACCGCTACCCACTGAAGACAGCTGAAACAAACCAACTCGGATAAATTTATAGCTGCTGCCGCCACAGACCTGAGCACACTACTGTCTCAGTTTCTCTGTAATGCTGCTAATTCTTTGCCAAACAAGGAAAATCTCGTCTTCCTCCTTCAGAGGATGGCTGTGAAGATAATAAATACATCAAAGACTGCAAGGCAGTGAAAGGTGGTTCCATGAGTACCAAAGAGAGCTCGAAACGAGGCATACGGAAGTGCTCAGGGGGAGGAAAAAGGTGACAGCCGTTCCCAGAGCTGAATATAACCGAAGCATTTCTTTACTATTCAGGGTATCAGTTAATACAATTGCAATTCTGCTTTTATAGAGCTTTCATCAGGGGCTATCAGCTTCATTAGTACAGTACCCTGGGAAGAAAATATTGTAAGATTGTGTATGTATGTTTCTCTGTCCAGTAAATGATTTCAGTTCACTCTAATAGAAAAAAACCCCAAACTTAACCACCGTTTTAACTGGACATTTTTCTGTGGTCACTGGAAGCATGGCGCAGGCAATACCAGAACGGCAGTAGGCACGAAGGCAGTACTAGTACAGCTGGTGGAGAGATTGCTTCCAACGCCAAAGTTACATAAAAATCATTCATTCTGTAGACTCAGAGATAATGAAAACCTTGAGAATAGCTTGCTCGCTCAGCTCTGCGTTCTCCCTATTGGCTGTGAAAATTATAACAAAGATGCAACTAGTGTAATAGAACAGATCCAGCTGGAGTCCGCTGTGGAAGCCCACGTCCGCTTCCGGAGAATTTAATGAAATAATGCTGCGTTACAGCCACCACCACCAGCGGTGCGCGTCTCCCACTGCAGCTCCGTCTGCGCTTCCTTAGTCTGCGTTATTCCTCTACCTTTGAAGGCGCGGTAGCAGTGAAAACACGAAAGGAGGCAGAATCGCTGTCAGCTTCTGCTTACAGGGGATGGGGTGTGAGGCAAGAGGGATGCTCGCTGTCACCTGATGGGGCCCGACACGGGACCCCGGCTGCTTCGCGCCCCTGCCAGCCCAGCGCCAGCGCCAGGCCGGCTGCTCCGCCTCGAGCCCGAAGGGGCTGCCAGGGAGGGGGCAGGAACGGCCGCAGCCCCGCACTGCCGCCCACCCGCCAGCACACAGCACCGCCCGTGTCTCGCTGCACAGCGCAGATGAGCACAGTCTGTCCCTTCCCACTGGCTGATCACATCCCAGCGCCGGGCAACAGAAGCTTTTACAAGAGTCTAAAAAGCCACGCAGAAAACCAAACCCATACGACCAGTTTACTAAGCTTAAGGTAATAATTCACAAGGTCAAATTTTACTAGAGCCAAATCAGACTGCAGAACATGCAACACAGGCAGGTGTGCATCTCGGAATGAAACCTGGCTAGGGAAGATAGGGAGAAAACAAAATAAACGCTGAAATAAAACCACATTGCGTTTAATTTGCCCATTTAGGCGTTGCCTGCATTTATTACACAAAGTCAGGGTTTTCACCACGAACTCGGGCAGGATTTGCCTGTTCTGCCTCCCTTGCCCCGCGGGTGAGGGCTCTGCGGGGCCGCGCCAGGCTGCTGGTGCTGCGGGCAGGGCTCACAGTGCCGCCAGGCGCCGGCGCGCCCGGGACAGCCCCTGGGCCACGCCGAGCCCCCGAACCCCGGGCAGATCACACCTGAAACCTTTCGACAGCCGTTTTCACTGGGGTGTGTTCACAACCGCTCGCATTCCCAGGACAAGGTTTGACGGACATCACGGCGAGGACTCTTATTTTTGTCTCAGAGAGGGAGAGACACGGCTTAGCTGTGCTCAGCTCTGCCAGAGGCCCAGCGCGGTTTCCTGGTAGCAGTCTCACCGCTTCTCCTGCCCGGGCCCGGTTGTGGTGCTCACCCAACGTCAACCCGACCCGCAGCCAGGATCAGTGCTACAGAGGAAGGGTGGCCAGCGCCAGAGACTCCCCTTTTGCTCCCCGGGGGTGCTCCTGCCAAACAGCCCCCCAGGAGGAAGCACCCCTACAGCATCACCAGGGGTTTCCATCTTCACGACTGCACCATTTCCTTGGCCACTGACAGCAATGCAAAAGTTGCCAGATACTATTCTAAAATGAGAGAAGAGGCAAAAATCATCACATACCCTGGAATCAGACTTACACTGGCTTTGCCAAAACGCCACTTCAGCGTCAACATTATTTATCTAGAAGAGGTTTTGGGTGATTTAAGTGTCTTCCTTTTTCTAATGATTCTTCTCTCCCCTGCTCAGCCTGAACTGCAAGCAGCTGTCTGATTTTGAAAGACAACTACCTTGGGGATGTGTGTGGGCAGGGGATTTTGTAAGGAAAGGTTCATGGCCCAACAGCTCCTGTGAAAGAGTCAGGTATTCTGATGATTTATTATGAGAGCTGTTCAAATTTTTAACTTATGGACCAAACAAATCATTAAAGGCTTTCATTCTCAGTTGATGTAAAATGATTTGCCTCTCAAATTCTTCAACTTTGGACTTCAATTTGATTTTTTTTTTTTTTTTAATGTTAAAGCTTCATGTTCCCAGAAAAAAATAATGAATTGCTATCTTTTTAATTTTTGAATGTTGAAAACCTATTTTGGCAGGCCAGTAGAAAATCTGAAGCAACTACAAGGAAGAGAATAGAGTTAACAACAGGGAGACGTTTTTGCACATTTTTATGCAAGCCACTCTTACTGGAAACCTTAGTTATTTGACACTAAAATGAATTTATACAGAATGAATGCCATTATTACAGAACTAAAGAGCAAGTGGGATTCTGTCATGTGCCAACAGATACTTGAGTTCACCCGTTGGCTGGTCAGGACAAAACGGGACATTTGAGGCTGATGGAGGAAAAGGGAGCGGGAGAACCTGGAAACAGCACCTCTACCAGTGGGTTGATAATACTGAAATTAATAGTTTCTGACCATTTAGCTTAAAAAAAAAAAAATCTCTTTTCTTGCTTACAATATTTTTTGAGTAAAGAAACTGAGGAAAGACTTCAAGTGTGTTAAATAAGAGAAGGTAAAGCAAAGCACCTAATTCTGGGCTGAAAGGAATGTCTCATAGTGACTTAAGTCCTTCATGGTTTTGTATTCTGTCAGAACCTCAGCAAGTCTCTGTTTTGGTGGGAACTGAAACAACTTCTGCCCTGCTGGTTTCCCTGCTGGAGAAAAATCTAAATTCAACCAGGTGGTTTAGTAACCAAGTCTAGAAGGTCATTACTGGCGCAGTTTTTGCCTGGAAGAGCAGGAGGTGTCTCAGAGCAGTGGCTGTGGGAGCCCGGGCCGCAGCAAGGCACGTGCTGGCCGCGACCCCGGGGCCGAGCGGTGTTATCCTGCGCCTTGGGCCCTTTCGGCTGCCTGGGATCGGGCCCACTTAAACAGGGGACTTCACAGGACTTGTAGAAATCCTTCAAGAACTTCTGCTCTTGGTCTGAAAGAGATTTTTTTCCCCTCCACGTCAGTGTCATTACATCACATGAGAAATCACCTCTCGGTCGCAGGAGCGGCAGGCACGGCTGAGGTGACGCTGAGGCCGCTGCCCTCGCTGTGCTTCCGCGTGCGGCCGACCCGCAGCGCCGGGTGGGCACCAGCCCCCACGGGGAAAACCAGCACCTGGCAGCTTCAAAATACAGAGCCCACTCCCAATTTCATACACGGTGGCACATACATTTATATATGTAGACTTTACACACACTACTACTGTTAGCACGAGAGGGGAACCAGCCCTTATTCATCTGATACCCCGTAAACCGCTGGCCCGATTCCCGTCTGATTTATTCCCATGGAAATCAGAAGCATCTCCAAGATACGAGAAGGGTTTACATAAAATTAGATTCAGTCCTTATGTAAGAATGTTAAACCCGTGCCTGAGTAATGCGTTTATGTTTTCAAGATGTAAACTCTCATCCTTGGAGCTGCGTGTGGGAAGCGGCAGCTTATGCTCCCATGCCCACCCGACACGGTACACGGGTCTGCCTGCTGCTTGCAGGCCTGAGTTCTTTAAATACCTAGAGAAAGACTAAAATTACATCAAAATGAAGGTTTCTGAGATTTACTTACGTGAAATAAATTCTTCCTCCAAAACGTCAAGTTTGGCTTCTGTTTGGTCAGTTCATTTACTCTGAGCAAATACAATGTACCTAAGATTCATAAATAATTACTTTATACGGGCATTGGGCATGCTCCAGGCAGCCTTCTCCTGCACTAGACACCTTAACTCCAGCTCTAATCTAAACTTGCCTGTACTTGTCAGTCTCCTGTGGCTGCAGAGCCGGGAGCTCAGCGCTGCCCGTGCTCAGTCACGCTGGGCAGTCACTTGGGGCTCCGTTCCCTCGGTGCAGGCGGGGAGCCAGGCCTGGGTGCACAAGGTTCATCTTCCCTCCTCCGCGGGCAGACAGATCACAAGCCCAGCAACGCTGCTTTCTATGATTTTGCTCTCTACTTGCCAACCCTGTAATTGCAACCCTATATATATGGTCCCTCCCACCCCAGCAGTTCTGCTCTCTGAGTCTCCTCCATTGTGTATGTGCAGGTATTTTAGGTGAGACATAATTATTCTTGTTCCTATCAGCTGAGACAAGCATGCACAAGATTAACTCCCTCGTGGGACACAAAACGGTGCACCCTGAGTGCCTTCCGAGCTGTACACGTAAAGAGGAGAATAAGGACTGTAGGTACTTGTTACATTAATGATAGATAAAGCAAAGGCGGTTCACTGGGGATCCTTA